TTTTTTTAATCCCTGTCTTGTTTGATCACTAATGATCATTTGCTCCTTCTTGTAAGTCCTTATGATGGATTCCTGTGCCATCACATTCTTTTGCCTTTATTCCCATCTTTTTAGCTGCTCTTTCTATTTAGAGTCAGGTAAATTTCAAACTTTTCTGTTGTAATTTACAAGGCCTATCAGAGTTTACTCTTTATCCATATTTCCAACTTCACCTCTTAAACTTCACTTGTCCAACTCCTCCAAGAATCTCCCTAATTTCAAGTCCAGGTTAATTCTATTCAATTGGCTGACCAAAATATGATCTTTTCTCTCTCTAAAGTATAGTGAGGATTTTGTCCGCATGTAAAATTTTCAAGGGCCCTGACAGTGAGAAAAATTCCAACTACTTTTTGAGAAAAGTTTAGTAAAATAGACCTCCTTATCCACATATTTTTCTGTTGCTATAAATTTTTCATCACACTACTTCTGAGGATTTTTCTGTAAGTCACATTTGCCTTTTTTCATCCTTGACTTGGAACATTTTAAGACCTACAGAAGACTGATATTACTAGTATTATATTAACAAAAGGTGAAAGTAAATATGTATTCCAAAAATATTAACACTTTTACATATATTATCTAGCATACATTTTAATATAGTAATAATATATTATCCATGGTAATTAAAAATTATGCTTCTCCATCATGTGGTTTGTATCACATCTCCAAATGTAGGACTACAAGGCAGACGACAGGACTATCTTCTGAAGGCAGTATGAAATCAGGTAGGCATAGGGCAAAACTTGGGGGACAGTAGATGATGTGACTTGGTAGAGCATACCAGGAGGCTGAGCTAGAGCAGGAATTTTCAGCATAAGACCAGCACAAAGAGTCGTGCATTTTCTCTACAATAGATGTATGGGATTCTATTTTTTATTCACCATTTGGGTACTTCCACAGTTGTAAGTGGGAATACATTTTTTTTCTATATAAATTGTATAATATATAAAACAAAGAGCCTTATTATATCCCTCATGAATTACTTCTCAGGGAAGATATTAAAATGTATATTATTGATACCAACTGTGCCTTTAATGTATACATTTTTAGGATGTAGGTACTCACGCTCACTTTTCCATTGTGATTGTCTTCTTCTCTCACTGCCAGAGCCTTCAGAAAATTATCTTGCAGGTCTTTACCAGCACTTGCTAATGTCCTGCAAAATGCAGGTCTTCAGTTATAATATATTAGAAAACAAATATATTAAAGGCACTCAGGGACCAACAACCGCACTTTATTCCAAGTGACAATTCCTTATAACACAAAAACTATACACACAATCATTATAAATAATACACAATTATTATAATTTACTACATTCCTCGATATAATTTTATACAGTTATAGAATCTTTACAAATAATTGGAGTCAAGTGCATAAATAATATATACGTCTATATCAATACTCAAGCCAGAAACAGTTAATTTCATTTACATGCCCATTTTATTCTTTTTATCATACCATGCAAATTCAATGTATTTATACCTCTCACTACCCACAATAATTTTAGATTGCCTACAATATACATATAATTTATTTACTTAATATAAGAAAATTAGAACACTAGAAACCTAATCCAATTCCCTTACTGGGATAAAGCATTAATCTTAGCTCTATGAGGATATAAACAAAGCAAAAAAAAAAAAAAAAAAAGGAAACTAAGTTGAGTTATCTTTGTCAGATAAAAAGAAACAGGGGTGCCTCTGGCTCAGTTAGTGGAACATACGTCTCTTTATCTCAGGACTGTGAATTCAATCCCCACATTGGGTGTAAAGATGACTTAAAAAAATAAAATCTTAAAAAAAAAGAATTCAAGAGAAGTAATAAAATGAGTAAGCTGGGATGTAATATATAACACGGTGTAACTATATTAACTATAATTAATAATACTGTATATTTGGAAGTTGATAAGAGTAGATCTTAGAAGTTTTCACCACACAAAAAACGAATTTATAACTGTGTGTGGCAATGGATGTTAACTAGACTTACTGGGGTGATCATTTATATACACATATATACATATATTGAATCATTATGTTGTACATCTGAAACTGATATTATATGTCAATTTTGTCTTGATAAAATAAATTTGAAGAATTCAGAAAAGAAATGGCTATTCCTGGAACAATTTTTTTTTTAAATATTGATGATATCAGGGCACCTGGGTGGCTCAGTCGGTTAAGCATCTGACCCTTGATTTCGGCTCAGGTCAAGATCTCATGGTCATGAGATCAAGCCCTGTGTCAGTCTCCACGCTGAGTGGAGCCTGCTTAAGATTCTCTCTCTCCCTCTCTCCCTTCCCTCTTCACTTGTGCCTCAAGCTTGACCAGTGCCATTTCACCTCATGAGATTGTATGCCATAAACAGAGAGACACAAGAATAAAAATCAGTTGGGGTTATAGTGTCTGTTTTTAATTCCTACTACATAGCTACTACATTCCTACTACATTCAGCCTTTTCTTCCTATCCATGATAATAGGTATCGGTACTCCTCCAATAAATTCATTTTTTTGTTTAGTTCATTAGAATTAGTTTCTATTGGGGCGCCTGAGTGACTCAGTCGGTTAAGCGTCTGCCTCTTATTTTCATCTCAGGTCATAATCTCATGGTTGTGAATTCAAGCCCTGCATCAGGCTCTGTGCTGACAGCATGGAGCCTGCTTCACATTCTCTCTCTCCTTCTCTCTCTGCCCCTCCCCTGCTCACTCTGTCTCTCTTTCAAAAATAAATACATAAAGTTAAAAAAAAATAAGAATCATTGATATATATCATTGATCAATTATATAAATGATATAAGGTTTTGGTTGTGAGCAACCAAAACCAACTATCTTAATTAGACAGCCATTGTATTCCAATTAAGATAAGCTATTCAATTAAGATACTCTAGAGTCTTAAAGGTTTCCACATAGTAAGTCTCCCCACACCTCCCACCCCAAACACACCTCGTTTTGTTGTAAATCCTCGGATTATTACAGATAAATTATAGTCAAATTTGATTACCAACCTCAATCCCACAACAACCAAGGTAACATATCATTATCCATTTTGCATGCTTCTTTTAAATTTATCTTCTATAGTTTATGTATATACTTGTATAATCATAAAAACATACATAATATCATTTGGTGAGTTGTTCAATTTATTATATATTTTGCACTTATTGTTTTATTCCTATTGTTGTTATTTTTCCTGGGAACAGATGCTTATGAGAGTGCCGAGGAAGATCAAAATTATTCCCAGGTATATCAGACATGAAAAGCTGGAAGAACAGTATTTAGGTACTATCTGGTAATGAGAAAAGAACTCCTGATATTCTGCCAGGCCTGGCTCTCTTGTTAATGACTGAGGTTTTTAACAGACATCTAGGCCAGACAGGAAAAAGAAATAGTAAGAAGTAGAATTCTTGCTGCCCCTGGGCACTCACTATAACAAACACTGACCTCCCTTTTCCATAAAAATTAAGCCCTAGCTTTTAGCTGGGCATGAAGCTTCCTGGAATAAAGACTGCATTTCCTAGCTCCTCTTGAAGCTAGGTAGGTCTGTATGGCTAACTTTTGCACAATGGATTCCAAATGAAAATTATATAAAACTTCTTAGAGGAGGGAAGGTACACTTTCTCCTGTAGCTGGAGAGCAATATAATGACTGTTGCTTGCTCCAGCTGCTATCTTGACTTAAATTGGAGGCCACCATTATGGAGAAACAAGAGAAAGAAGCAGCGACCCTGACACCCAGGAGCATCAGTCAGCCTAGATGGGTAATATCTCCACTGCTGAAATATGAGACTGAATTTACATTTTGTTTCAGATACTGTTTGGGGGCTTTTTCTATTATTTTTCACTAAACCTAATCCCAAATAATATACTCACCACATGAAATTTGCTCACCCTTCTGAAGAAAGATGCTGTGGAATCGGCCTGGTGACCAAATTGGACTTTAACCTTATTTGCAACAGTCTAAAGATTTCCCAGGGGACTGTATTATTATGTAATTAAATTATTTTTTAAATAGTCAGAAAGTTAAGTCTTTTAAATGGAAGCATGAGGTAATGACAATTAAGCTGACATATAAGATGGGACATCAGTCTTTAATTCCCACTCACCAACTGATTAGTCCAAGTCACCACATTTTTCTGAACCTAGGTTTCATAATGGACTAAATAATCGCTAAGCCTCTAAGCACCTGTAAAACTTGTGATTTAAAATGATCATACTTGGGGCACCTGGGTGGCTCAGTTGGTTGAGTGTTCCACTTTGGCTTAGGTCAGGATCTCACGGGGAATCAGGAGTTTAAACCCTGCATCAGGCTCTCTGCTGTCAGCGCAGAGCCCGCTTCAGATCCTCTGTCTCCCTCTCTCTGCCCCTTCCCTGATTGCACTCTTTCTCTTTCTCTCTCCAAAATAAACATTTAAAATAAATAAATAAATAAGAGGATCATACTCTATCATCAGTTAGCATATATCCTTAATTTGCAATTAGTCTAAAAATGACTATTATACTGACATTATATTAAGATCATGCTGCTCTTTTTTTTTTTTATTTTTAAGTCTTACATACATAGACTCGTATCATTTCCTATAACCTCTATGAGAAATATAAAAGTATTTTTGTTACATAAACTGGGAACAGAAAGGATAAGATCTAAAGCTCCTAAGCTATATGCACCAGAGTAAAAACGTTATATAAATAATCGATTATTATACCATGCTACATCTGAGAACCGGAAACTTCTCAGCAAGGGGAATTATTGAGCAAGAAAGTTAATGCAGTGTGTGGTAAGGAATCCTTACATCTTTAACCTGCATTACTCTTACTTAACTAGATTTATTTAACAGTCAGTGAACTGAGACAACTTGCTTAAGTAAATATTACAAAAGGAGTCACTTCCTCAAGAAGTGAAGTAGGTCTGTTACAAAATATTAGGGTTGTAAGTTTTATAAAGGCAAATACTCCATCTTTGTCATTTACACTCCACTATACTTTGAAAATGGATTAAAAGATCTATAGATGATTTAATTTTTTACCAGCCATGTTTAAACATTAGCTAATGAATTTTATATAATCACACAAGAGTGAATCTAAATATATTCTTAATCCTCAACAATTAGGCTACTGTTTTTCTGATTTAGTTACATTGTTTGTGTTATCACACATATTCGTATTACTAGATTAACACTCAAGAGTAAATTTTAAAAAGAGGAAAAAAATAGAAAACTGTTAAAATATAATATTTCCATAAGTTATTTTCTTGAGTTCGCTTATTTTCAAGATTATAAATTCTTTCAGTAAATATTCATGAGCTATTAATCATCTTAAAATTTTAAATGTAAAATTGAAAGTTTTCTAATGAGCAAAGTTTGAAGGATCACTGGAATGTGTGGTAATGAGCAGTTTCTGAATAAGCACTGAATCAAATTTGAGATTAAATCGGTCTTAATAGAAATACTTTTTTTTTATCTATTGGGAGTCTTTGTACTAGTCTCTATGCTAGGTATTTTGCAAATACTTTCAATTACCTTCAAATCAAGCCCTAAGGGAGGACATGTTTATTTCTACTTTAGCAATAAACTTGATTGTAATCAGGTGGCATCAGTTTATAACTTGAATATCACTAACTCCAAAGTTTTATTCTACTATACTGAAGCCTCACAATATATCAAAACATCATATTGATATCATAATATTTTGACAGAAAACAATGAGAATTCACTGGTGAGATGAAACCTAAATTAACAGGAATGGGGATTGACCTTCATCAGAAGGTGCCCCTAGGAATTATCAGGGGCTGGTGGTCCTGAAACCTCTGTGGAAAGCTAATCAGCCATAATTATCATTCCAATCTAGCCCAGAATTCTGATCAACCACTTGTTCAGAGGTAGCTTTGATTTTTTTTTAAATCAGTAAAATCTAGCATAGCCCTATATTCAATAATTCTAGAATTTACTAGAATTCAGTAATTCAGCTCATCTGCACTTGTTTGAATATGTGATTCAACTTCTCTATGCATCAGTTGCTTTGCAATGATGTTTTTGTATACTTATTTTGGAAAAATTTAGTGGAGAGTAAAGTCATCTCACCAGTCAAATATTATCTTTGTAGCAAATTAGCACACATCTATGAAAATCAGTTTTCAGAAATACCTTTATTTCCATGGATAAG